CGAGCAATTTGCTCGATATGAATGATTAAAATGCTATTTTTTTATTGGTCGTGTTGGGTTAGAATTTTAGAGAACGGTAAGAAAAATGATTTTGATTTTGATTTTGACATTAGAATATAGTGCTTTCAAAATAAGACCAAAAGAATCTTTAGAAAAATTAATAATTAAAAGTATCTTTTTTAGGTTAACTTTTTTTAGTGTTAAAAAAAGAAAAAAAAAACTAAGATATTTGGTATTGAGTATAAATAAAAAGGTTGATTAGTTTAATGGGTTAGGTTTGAATTAAAATATATTTGGTTAATTTTGCAATTATAATAATAGATAAAATCTTAGAAAAGAAAAGGGAATAAGTAAAACGGGCTAAATAAATTTGAATTGGGTGACATATTTTACTCGATTTTTCTTACTTGTCACTACTTTTTTTTTATTGTTAAAATTATTTTCCTACCGGCACGTTTTAATTCAATGAAAATTTTTTAAATTCCTACCTCATATCAGAACTTAAATGAAAACTTCATTTTTATTCATAACTTACTTAATGACTAGCTATGCATAATAAGACAATAATTAAATAACATTATTTGTAAAGGGTTAGATAATAAACAATCATGTAAATTATTTATTCTTGTATTTTTCTCTCTCTTATTTTTTTATTTTTTTTATGTAAATGTGAGTTATTGTGGGGTTCTTAAAAAATGTGCCAAAAAAAGAACACGTAAGGTAAGGTTGAGTTTCCATCCAACCCCAAATTGGAGTTAATTACTTATAATCAACCCATTAGTGTTACAATTTATTTTACTGAATTTAACACCATGTGATTGAATTAAGTCTCATTTTCAAGAGAAGAGGACGATATAAATCTCTATTCGAAAACAAGTTGCAACACCATTGAAGAAAAGAAGATCATACAAATTCTCAAGTCTTTTGTTGTTTGTGTTTTCGTTTTGGCCTTTGCCTACAAACTCAAACAATATAATTGTTGTATATCTATTTACTTTTTTTACGTAGTTTATTTTTACTGTATTAAGAATACGAGTAAAAATTCATATGATAGAGAGTAGAAATAAATTGCTTAAGAAATTAAGTAGAATTTCAAAAGAGTGAAACTAAAAATGAAAACATTCAATAAAATTTTTGGTTTTTCATTTGAAAGATATTTCTATAAGAAAATTTGAATTGATGTATCAATGGAAGAATTGAAAATATAAGGGCTCATTTTGTAATCCTAGCTTTCCTTTTGAGCGCATTCAATTCTCAACTTCCATTGACAAAGTGGGAAGCCGTGATTTGGAACCATCCTTCAAATTCACCTCTTGAGACTCATTACAAATCTAAAGACGAAGATTTAGGTTAGTAGAGAATATATATATATATCTACGTACTCATGATGAAATTCAGGTTTTTATTTTAAGTTTTGAAATTTAAAAAACAAAAAATTAAACTATTTAATTTTTACATAATATTTATTAGGTTTTTAATGGTTTTATTTTCGTATTTAATGTTTTTATTTTAGAATATTTCTTAAAATTTATATGTATATATTTATCTTAGTTTGGGTGTATCTAACCTAAAATTTCGGATTTGCTATGAATTTATATGTATATATTTATCTTAGTTTGGGTGTATATCATCAATCCAAAAACCCAATTCTATTGGGACTTTAAGGAGAATTTTTTTCGAACCACATTGTTTTGGTGTGACTTTGAAAGCAAATTAGGGCATGCCTCATTTGAGGTTTTCTGGTCTGGAAAGGGAACATGACTTTCTGATCGATAGGATAATGAAATATGCATATGGTTGGCAGATAATAATGGCTTTTCATTATTTAATAATCCTTTAAACAAATTTGAGTTCCTGCACGGATGGCAAGGTTGTTCTCCACATTATTAAATAATGATCTAAGTTAGTGGATGAAAATTTCGCATCTTTATTGCTTTTGTGGAATAAACCTTTCTGAGACCAACAAAGAAAATAAAGTTGTTTCCGTTATTTACTATGTGAACAAAACGTGAAAGGTAAAATAATTATGGAAAATGAAAACGTGTACGACTCCCGCGTAAATGAGAGTAAAATTATTGTGGTGGCTGGGATTTGGGCTCAAATCTCCATTGCTACTTCATGAAATTCTTGCCACTAAACTATAGCTACTTATTGGCTAAGTTTTCACGACCATAACATAAAATTCTCACAATTAAACTACGACTACTTGAGGTTATCTTTTAATTTTGTTATTAAGTTACTCTAAATACTTTGAATTAAATTTTGGTCGTTGATTTTGATGGGCAATATCAAGACCGTTGCGAGTTAGATTCAAATTCTATATCTAGGTCAAATTCTTAGAGGCATTACACCCTTAAATGAAGCAATGACCAATTTCAAGCTCTCTAGGTAAAACAAATAATAACCATTGACATAACAAACTCAAAATGAATATTAATGTCTTCCTAAACTTTCTTTTAATCCCACAAGTTTATGAAACATTTGCTAGGAAACTGTCTAAAATCTAAGTGAAAGGTGTCTCAAATTAAGCTGGGAGGAATGACATATCATGGATCTAAATTAAATGAGTGAAGTATTTTTCTTCAATCTTGCATGGACTTTTGTTTGGATTCACGAGAATTCTCACAAGTCGTCATGATTTTCATTCCTTTCACCGAGACTTTTGTTTTTATTTTTAACTATTACATAAACAATTTGATACCCCATAAAATATATCTAATTTATTATATCATTAAAGTTTATCAATTGATAGACTTAAAATGCATTTTAAATGAGTAGGAAAATTAAAAAAAAAAATAGATTATATATCCAGTACAATCGATTACTTATTGTCAAACTACTCTAATTTTTCATTAAAAAATAAGGTCCCTACGACATGCATGTCATGACTACCAAATGCAGAAATCCTTTAAAATAATTTGCTAAAACAATGCTATGGACTCAAAGATTACCATTCAAACCAACAAATATCGAAATCAAAATACAATAATTTAAAATAATGCAACACACTTAATAAATCTAAGGGCTGCTGCATCAAATGCAAATGCAACTACCTTGACTTCACTTCCATGGACTCCACAGTGACATCGTCATACATACATTGTTTGCTTACCTTTACCTCAAAAAGAAGTAGTACGTTACTTGAGTATTTAAAAATACTTAGTAAGTAATCCCACTATTTAGGTTAAAAAATGCAATCACATACAATCATGATGGGATCTATCTTTTCTTAAGACATCCTGACCTTATTCTCTACTTCAAGTTCGAGTAAGGTTTGATGTGTAGTACTTTTCTATACACGAAACACACATGCGCACATGGACCCATTAAATGAGCTCGTATACATACCTCATGGGTCTGATGGCAAGCTAGCGAACAGTAACGTTGCCAGAAACCACAAAGGGAAAGGAGCATGCATAATATCATAGTGTACATAATAAGAGAGTGTACACATGTGTACTAATCATAAGGAGAAAGTCTCTCGATGCATGTGACATGCGAAATGAATGAGGTCCTATAGTTTCGAATCATGATACATAGTTATGATGCAAATCATACATCCATTTTATTTTTCATGACATAGCATTCCTATTAGACATACATACGTATACTTGATAAATCTTTTATGGTTGGTTAATATACATGGTTTATCAATGTCTCATAAGCACAACGTGAACATGTTAACATAATACGCGTGGTGTAATATGTGAAGGTTCAAGCATTATACATCATTCATATCGCAACGTAGATTCATAACATATATATCATTCATATCATAACATAAAATGTAACACCCCTAAGTTTCTTAAGCTAATTAGTGACGTCAACTCATGCCTGCTTAAATCATAAATGCAGAAATTCATAATAGACATGTACTAACTTAAAATTCAACCATTTTAAAGGAAAATCAAGCTTCATACAAACACCTAACAAAATTGATTAAAATCAAATATGTCCTATCAGGTACTAATTTAAAATTCAAAACATTCAAAACATTCAACTGCCCTATTATTGTCTATTTTGACTTCCATGGACTGCACAATGTTCACCTTCATTAGTTCATAGGATCTTTATCTTTACCGGAGAGATTAAGTTAGTACCTGTCTTGAGTATTTTATAAAATACTGAATAAGTGACCCAACTGTTGAAGTTTGATACGTAAACACATGCAATATATGAGTGAGACCTATCTTTTATAAACATAACATGGCGTTGGGCTCTTATAGTTTCGAGAAGGATTAGATGCAAGGTACTTCTTCATACACGGCCTACGTCCATGCACACAGGCCCACAAGGTGGGCTCGTATCGTACCCGTAGGACTGACTTGGTCCGGCACAACACATTATAGATCACCACTGTTGAAATATCATCACTAGCCCAATAGAGTCAACCCCAATAATTGTAAGAGCTCATTGTATATTTATTTTAGTAGAGATTTTAGGAAAGATATCTAGAGATTTTAGGAGGAAGAGATCTAGATGTTTTAGGAGAGATCTAGATATTTTAGGAAGAAGATTTAGATTTGTTAAGTCGAGATTTAGATTGGTTAGGTCTAGATTGCATAGGCTCTAATTTAAAGACCCTTCCACCCTACCTAGGTCTTCATATAAAAAATCCAAAAACTAGTAGTATTCTACAGATTCTTGTATTCTCTTATCGATTGGTCTTAATAAAGAGTGCGAGTGTTTCCCACAGAGAGTTGTTTTCAACAATTGGTATCAGAGCCATGCCCTAAACTTAGTCGTGTCAATAGATAGGCAAATCCTCGAATGTTGAACAAAAGACTCCAAAAAGAAAAAGGAGTCAAGCCTCCTCGAAGGCAGTAAAAAATGACTAAGACTCCAAAGGAGTCGAGCCTCGATTAAGGAGAGGCGTACTTTGTTCGGAAAGGGGGGGGGGGTGTTGGATGAAAGTGTCCCACATTAGTTTTAGTGAATGGTCATGGGTTTATAGTCAAAGAATACACTCTCCATTGGTATGAGGCCTTTTGGGGAAGCTGAAAGAAAAATCATGAGAGCTTATGTTCAAAGTGGACAATATCATATTATTATGAAGAGCGTGTTCGTCTAACTTGGTATCAGAACCCTCTTTAGTTTGAGCTTTGTATCTCACAATTGATCCATCCGAGGTACGTGTTCAATCTCGGTTCAAGAACAATTTTTTGGTGTAACAAAAGACAACCAACAGTATCATTGTCAATTAGAGAAGCAAAGTACAGAGCAGCAGCTGGAGCAGCTTAGGAAAATACATGGTTAAAACTTTTGATGGAAGATTGGCACCGGAAAATTAAGTATCCAATACCACTCCATTGCAACAATCAATCTATAGTTTGCCTAGCAGATTCGCCTAGCAGACATGTTTACAAAAGGGCTGAATACTGACAAACATGAGAGTTTTCGTTGTCAGCTCAACATGGTGTGGTTAAAACTTTTGATGGAAGATTGACATCAGAAAATTAAGACTCCAATACCACTTCATTGCAACCATCAATCTACAATTTGCCTAGCAGATTCGCCTAGCATACTTGTTTACAAAAGGGCTGAATATTGATAGACATGAGAGTTTTCGCTATCAGCGAGACCTACCTATTTTAGGAGAGACCTACATATATGTTAGGAGAGAGACCTACATATTTGTCTCTACCTATTTTGAGGAGAGACCTATATTTTAGGAGAGAGACCCACATATTTTAGGAGAGAGACCCACATATTTTAGAAGAGAGACCTACATATTTTAGCCTCTACATATACATATTTTAGGAGAGATTTGTAGATATTTTAGGAGAGAGATAGTAGATATTTTAGGAGAGATAGGAGAGACCTACCTATTTTAGGAGAGAGACCTAGATATTTTAAGAGAGAGATCTACATATTTTAGAAGAGAGACCTAGATATTTTAGGAGGGAGACCATCAAGAGGGACCTAGATTTTTAGGAGAGATATGAGAGAAACCTACCTATTTTAGGGGAGACACCTATATATTTTAGAAGATCGACCCAGATATTTTCGGAGAGATAGGAGAAAGACCTACATATTTTAGAAGAGAGATCTAAAATCTATTTTAGGAGAGAGACACCTACCTATTTTAGGAGAGAGACTTATATTACCTATTTTAGTTGAGAGACTACATATTGTAGGAGAGAGACCTACATACATATTTTAGTTGAGAGAACTACATACATTTAGGAGAGAGACCTATTTGCCTAGCAGACTTGTTTACAAAAGGGCTGAATACTGACAAACATGAGAGTTTTCGCTGTCAGCTAAACATGGTGTAGTGAATGAAACCTACATATTTGAGAAGAAAGACCTACCTATTTTAGGAGAGAGACCTGGTTATTTTAGGAGAGACCTGCCTATTTGAGAAGAGAGACCTAACTATTTTAGGAGAGAGACATATTTTAGGAGTGAGACTTAGATATTTTAGAAGAGATAGGAGAGACCTACCTTCTTTAGGAGGGAGACCTACCTATTTTAGGAGAGAGACATACCTATTTTTGGGGAGAGACCTACATATTTTAGGGGAGAGACCTATATTTAGGAGAAAGACCGAGATATTTTAGGAGAGAGACCTAGATATTTTCGGAAAGATAGGAGAGAAATCTACATATTTATTTTAGGAGAAAAACTTATCTATTTTAGAGGAAGACCTACCTATTTTAGGAGAAAGATCTACCTCTTTAGGGGAGAGAATTAGGAGAATTAGGAGAGATAGTAGATATTTTAGGAGAGAGACCTAGATATTTTAGGAGAGATAGGAAGAGTTATACATATTTATTTTAGGAGAGAGACCTCTCTATTTGAGGAGAGAGACTTACCTATTTTATTTATGAGAGAGACCTAGTTATTTCAAGAGAGAGACCTAAATATTTTAGGAGAGATAGGAAGAGTTCTACATATTTACTTTGGAAAGAAATTTACCTAGGAGAGAAACCTAGTTATTTTAGGAGAGAGACCTAGATATTTTAGGAGAGATAGGAAGAGTTCTACATATATATTTTTGGAAAGAGATCTACCTAGTAGAGAGACCTCCCCTATTTTAGGAGAGTGACCTACCTAGATGAGACCTATATTTTATGAGAGAGACCTAGATATTTTAGGAGAGATATTCATATTTTAGAGGAGATTGTTGATATTTTAGGAGAGATAAGAGATATATTTTAGGAGAGAGACCTACATATATTTTAGAACTACATATATTTTAGGAGGGAGACCTACATATATTTTATAAGGGAGACCTACATATATTTTATAAGGGAGACCTAGATATTTTAGGAGAGAGACTTAAATATATTTTGGAGAGAGACATAGATATTTTAGGAGAGAGACCTACCTATTTTAGGAGAGAAACCTATCTATTTTAGGAGAGAAACCTACATATTTTAGGAGACATCCTAATATTTTAGGAGAGAGGCCTAGATATTTTAGGTGAGATAGTAGATATTTTAGGATATTTTAGGAGAGAGGACTAGATATTTTAGGAGAGATAGTAGGGAGAGAAATAGCGAGATATTTTAGGAGAGAAATAGCGAGATATTTTAGGAGAGATAGAAGAGAAGGGAGAGAGACTTAGATACGTAGATATTTTAGAGAAGAGAGACCTATATTTTAGGAGATGGAGAGTTGGGGAGAGAGACCGATATATTTTAGAAGAGAGACCGAGATACCTAGATATTTTAGAAGAGAGAGCTATATATTTTAGGAGAGAAACCAGATATTTTAAGAGGGAGACCATATATTTTTAGGAGAGAGACTAGATATTTTAGGAGAGATACCTAGATTTAGATTTGTTAAGTATAGATTGCGCAACTATAGTATAAATACCCCTCTACTCTAACTAAGGTCTTCATCTAAAAAATCCAAAAACTAGTAGTATTCTACCGAATGTCTTGTATTCTCTTTTCGATTGGTCTTAATATAGAGTGTCATAATGTTTCCAAGAGAGTTGTGTTCAACAACCACATTTCACAAAAAAAAAAATGCTAGCATGATATCACGGCGAACATAAATATCGAACATACACGCCCGTACTAATATAGCATAATGAAAAAGTATCCCAATGCATATGATATACAAACATGCATAAGGTTCCATAATTTACATTTCATACCATAACATTTAATATCTTTCATTTCTTTTTCCTTTCATAACAGGGTTCATTTATGTAACATGCATGCATGACATCTCACAATCCTCGCAAACTTTATATGTAAGATATACATTTCATTGATGACGTTTCAATTCATTAATAAAAGTAGTGTAATGGGTTTACATGCATACGTGACGTACGTCTCATATCAATACAAAGATACATAAATATCTCATAACATGAACATAACACATATTTATGGTACATGTATAAGTCACATGACATGAACCATCATAGATCAAACAATAACCTAACTCAAACAATAAGATCACTTGGTCAATCTTGGCCAAAGTCATTAACAATTTGATAGACACCTCGAAACAACAATCCAACGTCTAACTCTTACCTATAGCAATTAATATAACATGCTTAGGACCTACTAATAATTTAACTTAGCTAAACATTATGATCAATTCCAATATAACTGACGAGATGCATGTTCTTTAACTAACGAGATGTATAGGCTATGACCTTCCAGTGTTGTATCCACACACACTTGAAGTCTTTCTTGGAGGCATCACTATAAACAATATAACCTCCAAAATCTTTAGAACTGTAAATACTGGCATCGACACTAACCTGTGCTTCAAACCTTGGAAGCTTGCTTCAAATGTCACAACCCACACAAATGGAACACTCTTCCTAGTCTAGTGCATGAGTGGTGAAAATATACTGGCAAAATCTCGCACGAAACGTAGATAATACCCTATTAGACCCAAGAACCTATGTACCTCAATATTTGTAGATGGACGGACCCACTTAATAGTTAAGACATACATGTAGTAACCTTATTTTTTAATGGAAAAGTAGGGTTGTCATGTATTATTATTTCTAATGTTGTCACTAATTTCTTTGTTTAAATTTATTTCCTTACAAGCACGTTTGAATTCAATGAAAATTACTTTTTAAATTCATCGTGGGAGAACTTAAATGAAAACTTCCTTTTTATTAAAAGACTTATATGAAAGTTTTAGTCGGTTGCTTATTTATAACTTACTCAATGACTGGCTACACATAGTAAGACTATAGTTAAATGACAGTTATTCTAAATTGTCATGTATAATAAACATCTAATGTATAGTAATGAATGTAAATCATTATATACGGTAGATTGTTATACATAATAAAAATACATATAGTAAATAGAACCATATCTACCATTTTAAAGATGTATTTTGTGAATTTTTTGTATTCATACTCGAAGTCATCACTATAAATATATAAGACATATTATTTTTTGATTTTCTCTCTCCTAGTATTTGTTTTATATTATTTGTTTCAATATAAATGTGAGATAGTGTGCTGTCCTAAAAAAAATATGCCAAAAAAGTACCCGTTGTAAGGTTGAGTGTAATAGCCCAAAAATAAATAAACAAATAAAAAAAGTTAAAATAATTATAACAATAAATTAATTAATGAATTAAAATTAAAATTTTAAAAAAAAATTCCCCACCTCTCTCCACCAACCTCTCATCCCTTCCCACAATTATCTCTCCTCACCCATCCTTAACCCAACTGCAAAAAATGAATGAAACAGAAAAACAACAATGGTCATATTTTAGAAGAAGTAAAATGACTTTCAACATAAGGAATAAGCAAGATTGAAGATTTAGAGATTTTTGTCAGTTATTACCGTAAAATCCTATCTCAGATTTTCTTTTCTTTTATAGTTATGGTTATAAGAAATTTACTTTTCCCTTTTAGTTATTCGTTATGAGAAATTAATTTAGGATCAAATCTTCTTTCATATCTTTAAGAGTAATAATCAGATCCCATATACAATTGATTAGATTTTTGTTAGCATTTTAAGTTATACGAAATAAGGTTATAAGATTAGATTTAATAAAATTTTAGTTGGCAGATCTATAAACTAAAAGATGGTAGCCAAACAATGGACTCATTGCAAATCAAAAAACGAAAATTTAGGTTAGTAGCAGAAAACATAATATTTATAATATTTTAGGTTGAGTCTCATTGAGTCTCAAGTGGTATTAATCTTTATATTTTAAGTTTTGAAATTTAGAAAATAAAAAATTAAACTATCTAATTTTGACATATTTTGACATAATGTTTTTAATGTTTTTATTTTCATATATTCCTTAAAATCTATATGTATATATTTATTTTAGTGTGTGGGTATCTAACCTAAAATTCTGGATTGGCTATGAATTTAGGGTTGCATATCATCAAACCAGGAACCTAATTCAATTGGGACTTTAGGAGAATTCTTCTCGAACAACATTGTTTTGGTGCAACTTTTAGAGCAAATTAGGGTATGCTTCTTTCAAGGTTTTTTTGGCCAGAAAAGGGAACATGTCTTTCTGGTGGATGTGGTGATGAAAGATGCATATGGTTTGCCGATACTAAATGGTTTTCATTGTTTAATAGTCCTCAAAACAAATTTGAGTTAAAATAAGCATGCATAATATCATCGGAAATGAGTATGCATAATATCATCGTGTACATAATAAGGAAGTGTACACATGTGTACTAATCATAACAAGGAAGTATCTCAATACATGTGAGATGCAAAATGCATGAGGTCTCACAGTTTCTAATCATGATATATAGTTATGATGCAAATCATACATCCATTATTTTTACGACATAATGTTTCTATGAGACATGCATACGTATACTGAACATATCTTTTATGGTTAGTCTACATGACTTGTCAATGTCTCATAGGCACAGCGTGAACATGTTAACATAATATGTATGGTGTAATATATGGAGGTTCATGCATTATATATCATCCATATCACAACGTAGATTCACAGCATAGTGTCATTCATATCATAATATAAAGTGTCACATAGAACAACACATATTAACAAGGGCTACAAGACACTTGTCATTCATACAACATAAAAGTAATCCAACGTGACCCATAAGCATCAATAGTTTTACTTTTATGTTAACATAAAAGTATTTTTCCTGAAACTATCAAACTAAAACTTACATTATGTCATAACTTCAACTATTTTTCCTGTTCTCTATTTTTATTACATCTATTCGTATAAATAATTTTGAAATAATCAAACTTTGCATGGGTTTAAAATTGATAATACTACTTGCACATGAATTTCATTATTATCCAAATCGAATAAAAGAATGAAATAATGATATATTAAAAATAAAAAAAAAATTGTCATAGGAGGTCATTTGATCTATTGGTATGACTCCGAGGTCTTGAGTTCAATTCTTGGAATACTTGAACGTGGTCTTAAGATTCTAACAAACTCATAACTTCACTACAGACATACTCATTGACACATGTAGTTTTATGAACGCGTCCAACTTCATTAGTTTTGTCATAATATATACAACTAACTTGTTCTTGTGTGACACAATGCTTCAGCTCAATAACTCCATCTCTGATCAAATCATGCAGGAAATGAAACCTCACATCAATGTGTTTACTACGTCCATGAATAATTGTTTTTATTTACTTATTTGTTAATTTATTATTATTATTATTATTATTTTACATAATAATAATTAGGTAAAATAATAATTTTTTTATTTGTTTAGTTATTTATTTATTTTATTTATTTATTATTATTATTATTTTTTTTTTTGTTTTGGGCCGTTACAAAGGTATTTCAACTACGTCTCGCTTAGGTTACTTCTATATGGTTATTTAGAATTTTAGGACTAGTATGTAAGACTCACTTTCAATCAACTACAGTTAGAATTTTAGGACTAGTATGTAAGACCCACTTTCAATCAACTACAGTCTGTCTACTAATTTCTTTAGCGGCATGTAACATCATATATACCAAAGGTCAGGAATACTCATTGTTCCTAACTTAGTACACACTGCGTTGGTAAGAACTTTACCAGAATTAGTAGACTACAATACTCATATTCTAAATCTTTGGATAATTTATTTTATGATAAATGGAAATGCAGCAAAGATAGAGAATCAATATTTTGTTTACCATGGTTAGAAAAAATATCTCTCTGTAAGCACAAAATTTTATGGACAAGGTCAACTAAATTGACAATCATCGAAAAACATTCATAGATTTTCCGATGCTTGCTTATTTTGTTAGCCAATGTATGCTACGTGACAAAATTTAGTGCATCTAAAGATACTTTGCCCACCATATTCAGCCTTTGAAGCCTCTAAAGCCCCCCATGTCCCTTATATTTCTTCTTCCCCATTTCTTCAATTTTTTTGTGTTTTTCTTGTGGTGAATGGCATCCATATTCAATGTTCGAGGGAATTTGCTACTTTTTGGGTTTTCTCTCTTTTTAAATACCTTTTAGGTTCCTTTGTTCATAAATTATGTTGTCAGTTTAGGTTCATTTTGATGGTGTTATTATAACACGCAGAAGCAATTTGGATCTTAGGCACGCTATGTGCATCAATTATAGTAAATTAGCTAGCATGTTCAAAAACATTAAATGAGTTTGAATACTAACCTTTTGTAGTTCAAATTTCTTTTTCCTCACGAACGGTTTCGAACCACCACTAGTATCTTCCCTACTATTCTATATCTCTCTAACATAAAATGCATCATATCACATATAATCACAACATATAATTTAGCAAACATGACATATTCATAAAAATACAACTAGGTAGAGCATAATGCTACCATAAATCATATAGTTAGAGCTCAACATATTTGATACTAAATTACATTCAATATTAGTAAACAAAAAAAGTACCTTCAATTACAAACATATCTTTTTCTTATCTTATACAAGACATACTTGACAGCGACAGGACATCGATGTTGAAACCATGGAACATGCCAAGCCTATCTCGTAGGGAAGTCTACCGAATCTATAACCTAGAGCTCTGATACAATGGTAACGACCCTAGATGTCTATTAGCCTAAAGTTGCTACCGTCATCATTGATGGTGTTAATATAACACATGCGGAAGCAATTTGGATCTTAGGCACTTTTAGAACATCAATTTGGATCAAAGATGAAGAGTTATTGGGCTCTCGATCATGACTACAACAAGCTTGGGTACCATATTTACGAACTATAGGATATCAAATCAAAGTGAAGCCCTTGTAATGAACTTAATATTGTACGAGCAATTTGCTCGATATGAATGATTAAAATGCTATTTTTTTATTGGTCGTGTTGGGTTAGAATTTTAGAGAACGGTAAGAAAAATGATTTTGATTTTGATTTTGACATTAGAATATAGTGCTTTCAAAATAAGACTAAAAGAATCTTTAGAAAAATTAATAATTAAAAGTATCTTTTTTAGGTTAACTTTTTTTAGTGTTAAAAAAAGAAAAAAAAAAACTAAGATATTTGGTATTGAGTATAAATAAAAAGGTTGATTAGTTTAATGGGTTAGGTTTGAATTAAAATATATTTGGTTAATTTTGCAATTATAATAATAGATAAAATCTTAGAAAAGAAAAGGGAATAAGTAAAACGGGCTAAATAAATTTGAATTGGGTGACATATTTTACTCGATTTTTCTTACTTGTCAGTACTTTTTTTTTATTGTTAAAATTATTTTCCTACCGGCACGTTTTAATTCAATGAAAATTTTTTAAATTCCTACCTCATATCAGAACTTAAATGAAAACTTCATTTTTATTCATAACTTACTTAATGACTAGCTATGCATAATAAGACAATAATTAAATAACATTATTTGTAAAGGGTTAGATAATAAACAATCATGTAAATTATTTATTCTTGTATTTTTCTCTCTCTTATTTTTTATTTTTTTTATGTAAATGTGAGTTATTGTGGGGTTCTTAAAAAATGTGCCAAAAAAAGAACACGTAAGGTAAGGTTGAGTTTCCATCCAACCCCAAATTGGAGTTAATTACTTATAATCAACCCATTAGTGTTACAATTTATTTTACTGAATTTAACACCATGTGTTTGAATTAAGTCTCATTTTCAACAGAAGAGGACGATATAAATCTCTATTCGAAAACAAGTTGCAACACCATTGAAGAAAAGAAGATCATACAAATTCTCAAGTCTTTTGTTGTTTGTGTTTTCGTTTTGGCCTTTGCCTACAAACTCAAACAATATAATTGTTGTATATCTATTTACTTTTTTTACGTAGTTTATTTTTACTGTATTAAGAATACGAGTAAAAATTTATATGATAGAGAGTAGAAATAAATTGCTTAAGAAATTAAGTAGAATTTCACAAGAGTGAAACTAAAAATGAAAACATTCAATAAAATTTTTTGTTTTTCATTTGAAAGATATCTCTATAAGGAAATTTGAATTGATGTATCAATTGAAGAATTGAAAATATAAGGGCTCATTTTGTAACCCTAGTTTTTCTTTTGAGCACATTCAATTCTCAACTTCCATTGACAAAGTGGGGAGTGATGATTTGGAACCATCCTTCAAATTCACCTCTTGAGACTCGTTACAAATCTAAAGATGAAGATTTAGGTTAGTAGAGAATATATATATATATATATATATATATATATATATATATATATATATATATATATATATATATATATATCTACAAACTCATGATGAAATTCACGTTTTTATTTTAAGTTTTGAAATTTTAAAAACAAAAAATTAAACTATTTAATTTTTACCTAATATTTATTAGGTTTTTAATGGTTTTATTTTTGTATTTAATGTTTTTATTTTAAAATTTATATGTATATATTTATCTTAGTTTGGGTGTATTTAACCTAAAATTTCAGATTTGCTATGGACTTAGGCGTGCATATCGACAATCCAGGAACCCAATTCTATTGAGACTTTAAGGATAATTTTTTTCGAACCACATTGTTTTGGTGTGACTTTGAGAGCAAATTAGGAAATGCTTCATTCGAGGTTTTCTGGTCTGAAAAGGGAACATGACTTTCTGATTGATAGGATAATGAAATATGCATATGGTTGGCAGATAATAATGGCTTTTCATTGTTTAATAATCCTTTAAACAAATTTGAGTTCTTGCACGGATGGGAAGGTTGTTCTCCACCTCATTAAATAATGATCTAAGTTAGTGGATGAAAATGTCGCATCTTTATTGCTTTTGTGGAATAAACCTTTATGAGAACAACCAAGAAAATAAAGTTGTTTCAGTTATTTATTATGTGAACAAAACGCGAAAGGTAAAATAATTATGGAAAATGAAAACGTGTATGACGTGTAAAATAATTATGGAAAATGAAAACGTGTATGACTCCCGCGTCAATGAGTAAAATTATTGTGGTGGCTGGGATTTGGACTCAAATCTTCATTGCTACGTCATGAAATTCTTGCCACTAAACTATAGCTACTTATTGGCTAAGTTTTCACGACCATAACATAAAATTCTCACAATTAAACTACTGACTACTTGAGATTATCTTTTAAATTTGTTATTAAATTACTCTAAATACTTTGAATTAAATTATGGTCGTTGATTTTGATGGGCAATATCAAGACCGTTGCGAGTTAGATTCAAATTCTAAATCTAGGTCAAATTCTTAAAGGCATTACACCCTTGAATGAAGCAATGACCAATTTCAAGCTCTCTAGGGTAAAACAAATAATAACCATTGATATAACAATCTCAAAATGAATATTAATGTCTTCCTAAACTTTCTTTTTATCCCACAAGTTTATGAAACATTTGCGAGGAAAGTGTCTAAAATATAAGTGAAAGGTGTCTCAAATTAAGCTGGGAGGAATGACATATCATGGATCTAAATTAAATAATTGAAGTATTTTTTTTCAATCTTGCATCGACTTTTGTTTGGATTCACGAGAATTCTCACAAGTGAAAGGTGTCTCAAATTAAGCGGGGAGGACTGACATATCATGCATCTAAATTAAATGATTGAAGTATTTTTCTTCAATTTTGCATGGACTTTTGTTTGGATTCACGAGAATTCTCACAAGTCGTCATGATTTTCATTCCTTCCACCGGGACTTTTGTTTTTATGTTTAACTATTACATAAACAATTTCATACACCATAAAATATATCTAATTTATTATATCATTAAAGTTTATCAATTGATGTACTTAAAATGCATTTTAAATGAGTACGAAAAATAAAAAAATTTAGATTATATATCGAGTACAATCGATTACTTATTGTCAAACGACTCTAATTTTTCATTAAAAAATAAGGTCCGTACGACATGCATGTCATGACTACCAAATGCAGAAATCCTTTAAAATAATTTGCTAAAACAATGCTATGGACTCAAAGATTACCATTTAAACCAACAAATATCGAAATCAAAATACAATAATTTAAAATAATGCAACACACTTAATAATTCTAAGGGCGGCTACATCAAATGCAAATGCAACTACCTTGACTTCACTTCCATGGTCTCCACAGTGACATCATCATTCATACATTGTTGGCTTACCTTTACCTAAAAAAGAAGTAGCACGTGACTTGAGTATTTAAAAATACTTAGTAAGTAATCCCACTATTCAGGTTAAAAAATGCAATCACATACAATCATGATGGGATCTATCTTTTCTTAAGACATCCTGACCTTATTCTCTACTTCAAGTTCGAGTAAGGTTTGATGTGTAGTACTTTTCTATACACAAAACACACATGCGCACATGGACCCATTAAGTGAGCTCGTATACATACCTCATGGGTCTGATGGCAAGCTAGTGAACACTAACGTTGCCAGAAACTACAAAGGGAAAGGAGCTTAATAATATCATAGTGTACATAATAAGAAAGTGTACACATGTGTACTAATCATAAGGAGAAAGTCTCTCGATGCATGTGACATGCGAAATGAATGAGGTCCTATAGTTTCGAATCATGATACATAGTTATGATGCAAATCATACATCCATTTTATTTTTCATGACATAGCATTCCTATTAGACATACATACGTATACTGGACAAATCTTTTATGGTTGGTTAATATACATGGTTTATCAATGTCTCATAGGCACAACGTGAACATGTTAACATAATACGCATGGTGTAATATGTGAAGGTTCAAGCATTATATATCATTCATTCATATCGCAACGTAGATTCATAACATATATATCATTCATATCATAACATAAAATGTAACACCCCTAAGTTTCTTAAGCTAATTAGTGACGTCAACTCATGCCTGCTTAAATCATAAATGCGAAAATTCATAATAGACACGTACTAACATAAAATTCAACCATTTTAAAGGAAAATCAAGCTTCACACAGACACCTAACAAAATTGACTGAAATCCAATATGTCTTATCAGGTACTAATTTAAAATTCAAAACATTCAAAACATTCAACTGCCCTATTATTGTCTATTTTGACTTCCATGGACTGCATAACGTTCACCTTCATCAGTTCATAGGATCTTTACCTTTACCGGAGAGATTAAGTTAGTACCTGTTTTAAGTATTTTATAAAATACTGAGTAAGTGACCCAACGGTTGAAGTTTGATACGTAAACACATGCAATATATGAGTGAGACCTATCTTTTATAAACATAACATGGCGTTGGGCTCTTATAGTTTCGGGAAGGATTAGATGCAAGGTACTTCTTCATACACGGCCTACGTCCATGCACACGGGCCCACAGGGTGGGCTCGTATCGTACCCGTAGGCTTGACTTGGTCCGACACAACACATTATAGGTCACCACTGTTGAAATATCATCACTAGCCCAATAGAGTCAAGCCCAATAATTGTAATAGCTCATTGTATATTTATTTTAGTAGAGATTTTAGGAAAGATAGAGAGATTTTAGGAAGAAGATTTAGATTTGTTAAGTCTAGATTTAGATTGGTTAGGTCTAGATTGCCTAGGCTCTAATTTTCTAATTTAAAGACCCCTCCACCCTACCTAGGTCTTCATATAAGAAATCAAAAAACTAGTAGTATTCTACAGAGTCTTGTATTCTCTTATCGATTGGTCTTAATAAAGAGTGCGCGTGTTTTCCACAGAGAGTTGTGTTCAACAATTGGTATCAGAGTCATGCCCTAAACTTAGTCGTGTCAATAAATAGGAAAATCCTCGAATGTTGAACAAAGAACTCCAAAAAAAAAAAAGGAGTCAAGCCTCCTCGAAGGCAGTAAAAAATGACTAAGACTCCAAAGGAGTCGAGCCTCGATTAAGGGAAGGCGTACTTTGTTCGGGAGGGGGGGGGGTGTTGGATGAAAGTGTCCCACATTAGTTAATTTAGTGAATGGTCATGGGTTTATAATCATAGAATACACTCTCCATTGGTATGAGGCCTTTTGGGGAAGCCGAAAGCAAAATCATGAGAGCTTATGCTCAAAGTGGACAATATCATATCATTGTGGTGAGCGTGTTCGTCTAACTTGGTATTAGAGCCCTCTTTAGTCTGAACTTTATATCTCACGATTGATCCATTCGAGGTACGTATTCAATCTCGGTTCAAGAATAATTTTCTGGTGTAACAAAAGACAACCAACAGTATGATTGTCAATTAGAGAAGCAAATTACAGAGCAGCAGCTAGAGCAGCTCAGGAAAATACATGGTTAAAACCTTTGATGGAAGATTGGCACTAGAAAATTAAGTATCCAATATCACTCCATTGCAAAAATCAATCTACAATTTGCCTAGCAAATTCGTCTAGCAGGCATGTTTACAAAAGGGCTGAATGCTAACAAACATGAGAGTTTTCGTTGTCAGCTCAATATGGTGTGGTTAAAACTTTTGATGAAAGATTGACATTAGAAAATTAAGTATCCAATACCACTCCATTGCAACCATCAATCTACAATTTATGAAAGATTGACATTAGAAAATTAAGTATCCAATACCACTCCATTGCAACCATCAATCTACAATTTTCTTAGTAGATTCGCCTAGCAGACTTGTTTACAAAAGAGCGGAATATTGACAAACATGAGAGTTTTTCGCTGTCAGCTCAGGGCTGAATACTAACAAACATGAGAGTTTTCGTTGTCAGCTCAATATGGTGTGGTTAAAACTTTTGATGAAAGATTGACATTAGAAAATTAAGTATCCAATACCACTCCATTGCAACCATCAATCTACAATTTGCTTAGTAGATTGACATTAGAAAATTAAGTATCCAATACCACTCCATTGCAACCATCAATCTACAATTTGCTTAGTAGATTCGCCTAGCAGACTTGTTTACAAAAGAGCTAAATATTGACAAACATGAGAGTTTTTCGCTGTCAGCTCAACATGATGCAGTGAAAGAGACCTACCTATTTTAGGAGAGAGACCTACATATTTTACATATTTTAGGAGAGAGATTTAAAATCTATTTTAGGAGAGAGACACCTATATAAATATTTTAGGAGAGAGATCTACATACATATTTTTGGTTTGGAGAGACCTACATATATATTTTAGGAGAGAGATGTAGGAAAGAGACCTACATATTTTAGGATAGATAGGATAGAGAACGGTATATTTTAGGAGAGATAGAAGAAAGACCTACATATTTTAGGAAGAGACCTACATATTTTAGAAGAGAGACCTATATTTTTAAAAGAGAGACCTATATTTTAGGAAAGACCTACATATTTTAGGAGAGAGACCTATATATTTTAGTAGAGATACCTACATAGACTTACATCTTTTATAGAGAGACCTACATATTTTAGGAGAGATAGTAGATATTTTAGTAAAGAGAGGAGAGAGAGGAGAGATAGTAGATATTTTAGAAGAGAGATAGTAGATATTTTAGTAAAGAGAAGAGAGACCTAGATATTTTAGGAGAGATAAGAGAGACCTACATATTTGAGGAGAAGACTTATGAGAGACCTAGATATTTTAGGAGAGATAGGAGAGACCTACCTATTTATTTTAAGAGAGAGACCTACCTATTTATTTTAAGAGAGAGACCTACCTATTTTAAAAAGGGAGACCTACCTAATTTAGGAGAGAGACCTACCTAATTTAGGAGAGAGACCTACCTATTTTAGGAGAGACCTATATTTCAGGAGAGACCTATGTTTTAGGAGAGATAGGAGAGAGACCTACCTTTTTTAAGAGGGAGACCTATCTATTTTAGGAGAGAGACATACCTATTTTTTAGAGATCTATTTTAGGAGAGAGACATACCTATTTTTTAGAGAGGGAACCTACCTATATTTTAGGAGAGATAGACCTACATATTTTAGGAGAGAGACCTAGATATTTTTGGAGAGAGACCTAGATATTTTAGGAGAGATACCTACCTATTTTAGGGGAGATACCTATATTTTAGGAGAGATAGACCTAGATATTTTAGGAGAGAGACCTAGATATTTTTGGAGAGATACCTACCTATTTTAGGGGAGATACCTACCTATTTTAGGGGAGATACCTACCAATTTTAGGAGAGAGATCTTCCTATTTTAGGAGAGAGATCTACCTATATTTTAGGAGGGAGACCTACCTTCATTTTAGGAGAGAGATCTACCTATTTTAGGCGAGAGACATATATTTCAGAAGAGAGACCTACATATTTTAGGAGAAAGACCTAGATATTTTTGGAGAGAGACCTAGATATTTTCGGAGAGATAGGAGAGAGATCTACATATTTATTTTAGGAGACAGACCTACCTATTTTAGGCGGGTGACCTACCTATTTTAGGAGAGAGAATTAGGAAAGAGAATAGATATTTTAGGAGAGAGATCTAGATATTTTAGGAGAGATAGGAAGAGATCTACATATTTATTTTAGAAGAGAGACCTACCTATTTTAGGAGAGACCTAGATTGACCGGAGAGATAGGAGAGAGACCTATCTTTTATAGGAGGGAGACATATCTATTTTAGGAGAGAGACATACCTATTTTTGGAGAGAGACCTACATATTTTTAGAGGAGAGACCTATATTTAAAGGGAGAGACCTAGATATTTTAGGAGAGATAGAACAGAGATCTACATATTTATTTTAGGAGAGAGACCTACCTGACCTACCTATTTAGGAGAGACCCTATTTTAAGAGAGAGCTACCTATTTTATGAGAGAGAATTAAGAGAGATAGTAGATATTTTAGGTGAGAGACTTAGATATTTTAGGAGAGATAGGAAGAGATCTACATATTTATTTTAGGGGAGAGATCTACCTCTTTTAGGAGACAAACCTACCTATTTTAGGAGAGAGACGACCTACCTATCTTAAGAGTGAGACCTATATTTTATGAGAGAGACTTAGGTGAGAGACCGAGATATTTTAGGAGAGATAGTTAATATTTTAGGAGAGATTGTTGATATTTTAGGAGAGATTAGAGAGAGACCTACATATATTTTAGGAGAGAGACCTACCTATATTTTAGGAGAGGGACCTACCTATATTTTAGGAGAGAGACCTAGATATTTTAGGAGAGAGACCTACATATATTTTAGAGAAGAGACCAACATATATTGTAGAGGAGAGACTTAGATATTTTTGGAGAGAGACCTACATATATTTTAGGAGAGAGACAACATATATTTTAAGAGAGACTTAGATAATTTAGAAGAGAGACTTCGATATTTTAGGAGAGAGACCTAGATATTTTAGAAGAGAGACCTACCTATTTTAGGAGAGATAATATATATTTTAGGAGAGTGACCTAATATTTTAGGAGAGATAGTAGATATTTTAGGAGAGAGATAACAAATATTTTAGATATTTTAGGAGAGATAGGAGAGACCTCCATACTTTAGGATTTTAGGATAGAGACTTACATATTTTAGGAGAGACCTATTTAGGAGAGAGATCTAGCTACTTAGATATTACCTAGATATTTTAGATATTTTAGGAGAGACACCTAGATACCTAAATATTTTAGAAGAGAGACGTAGATACCTAGATAGTTTAGGGGAAAGAGACTAGATACCTGTATATTGTAGGGGAGAGAGACCTATATTTTAGGAGAGGGAGAGTTAGGGGAGAGAGACCAGACTCAGAGGAGAGAGACTTATATATTTTAGGAGAGACCTATATTTTAGGAGAGGGAGAGTTAGGGAAGAGAGACTTAGATATTTTAGGAGAGAGAGATTATGGGAGAGACCTAGATATTTTAGGAGAGAAAGATTAGGGGAGAGAGACCTATATATTTTAGGAGAGAGACCTAGATATTTTAGGAGAGAGAGATTAGGGGGGAGAGACCTGTATATTTTAGGAGAGACCTACATATTTTAGAAAAAAGATATTTAAGGGGGAGAGACCTATATATATTAGGAGAGAAACCAGATATTTTAAGAGAGAGACCAGATATTTTAGGAGAGATATCTAGATTTAGATATGTTAAGTCTAGATTGGGCAACTGTAGTATAAATACCTCTCTGCTCTACCTACGTAAGGTATTCATTTAAAAAATCCAAAAACTAGTAGTATTCTACAGAGTGTCTTGTATTCTCTTTTCGATTGGTCTTAATAAAGAGTGTCATAATGTTTCCACAGAGAATTGTGTTCAACAACCACATGATATCACGGCGAACATAAATATCGAACGTACACGCCCGTACTAATATAACATAATGAAAAAGTATCCCAATGCATATGATATACAAACATGCATAAGGTTCCATAATTTATATTTCATAACATAACATTTAATATCTTTCATTTCTTTTTCCTTTCATAACAGAGTTCATTTATGTAACATGCATGCATGACATCTCACAATCCATCGCAAACTTTATATGTAAGATATACATTTCATTCATGACGTTTCAATTCATTCATAAAAGTAATGTAATGGGTTTATATGCATACATGACGTACGTCTCATATCAATACAAAGATACATAAACATCTCATGACATAAACATAACACATATTTAGGGTACATGTATGCACATGACATGAACCATCATAGATCAAACAATAACCTAACTTAAACAATAAGGTCACTTGGTCGATCTTGGCCAAAGTCATTAACAATTTGATAGACACCTCGAAACAACAATCCAACGTATAACTCTTACCTATAGCAATTAATATAACATGCTTAGGACCTACTAATAACTTAACTTAGCTAAACATATGATCAATTCCAATATAACTGACGAGA